GTGCTCTGGATACCAAAAGAATCAAAATAACAATTCAACAAGAAATGTCATTTCCTAAAAACACAAGAACTTCCACACTTTAAAACTCACCTCTAAATTTACAGAATCATTTGCGTTTGAGTCTGCTGAGAAAAAAAGCAAATGATTTAAACTTCAATGCCACTATTTTTAAACACAACAGTAAAATATGAAAACAGATTCTAACCTCTGGATTGGCAGTTGTTCCTCTTTTTCATCTTATACACTAAAAAAGTTGATGAGACGCTGATGATGGTGGTGAGTGTTAAAGCTGCGCTTAAGAAATACATCAGGCCAGCAGAATCTCGCCGAATTGTAAATCCTAGAAATGACAGAGCCTTTTAGCTTTTCATCTTCAGTTCATCAAATATGATCTGCTCCTATTTATAATACCATGTGAGTCACCTCTGATGGAAAAGTGACTTACCCCCAAAGTCCAGCTTGGTCCCGTTTCCAAACAGTATGAGTCCACATGAGACAACAGCACAGTAGTAGATCCCAGTGTGAGACACATTCAGGCTCTCCATTCTCAAGTTATAGACACAGGTGTGTGTACTTTTGTTGTCTTTCCTCTCACAATGACCATTCCTGACTCCATGGGTGTAAATGAGTCCTGGCTGAGAGTCTTCAGAGTCTTTGAACCAGTAAACACTGTGTTCTCCATCACAGCTCAGCATAGTGTGAACCATACAGTGCAGACTTACAGAGCCTCCTGGCTGGATGGTCTCAGATGCTGACTGATGAACTAAAGCTCGTACTTTTAAATTTAAATCATTGACACTGACAATAATGGTCTCTAAGAATGTTGATGTATACAAATAGGAAAATATACAGTAGTAAGTTGCTGAGTCTGAAACACTTAAGTCTGAGATAATCAAGTGTTTTTTTCCATTTCCATTATCTAGTCTGAAGTGTGCATTATTCTTGAATGGATGATGAAATTGAACAAAATTGGTTTCTGACTTATAGAAGGTAGAAATGAGTTTTGGTTTCTCTCCTAAAGTTTGTTTATACCAGTAAAAACGTGCAGCAACATTCTGTTCATAGTAACAATGTAAAGTCACGCTGTCTCCAGATTTAGCTGATATAAAACGTGCTTCTTCATGAACAGAGGAGGATAAATGCAGGTTATTCTTCTGAGCTGTGGTGAAATGAAAGACAAAGCAAATACACATTGTGGAACATGGCAGCTGAGACAAAAGACCTTAAAAGAATTAGACTGTGGTTAAACACAAACTTACCAATTACACCCAAGAAGAAAGATATCACATAGAAGACAATGTGTGCAGATGCCATTGTTCCAAACAGTTGTACTGAATAAAAGAATGGCGACTCTTCACTTTTAAGAGTGATGATTAGATTTTACTGGCCAATCAGAAGCTACACAGTACATGGAAAACTAGATCACATGATCAATGACATCTGTAGTGTTAAACTTAGTAGCTGAGAAAAAAAACAGAAGAACATCACAGTTTAGATCAGAGGTGAGATATATTAGATGTCAACTCACTAAATATCCTGTAGACAATGTGTTTGTTTGGGGCAGTGTGAGACCCATAGTTTATCACTTTGAAATATTTAATATATTTTAAGAAACATGAAAAAAAAAAATACATAACCACACAAAGTATGCTAGTAGCTTTTTTAATGGTTTTCATGTCAAATAAATGTTTGGAATTTTTGAAGTTTGTGTTTAGGATTTTCTGTCATGTGAAGTTGTGACTCCTGTGCCAGGTTCTGTTTTGGATATCTGTTTTTATTTCTTTGTTATTTTACTGTGACTTTCCATCCATCCATTTTCTTCCACTTATCCGGGACTGGGACACATGGGCAGCAGCCTAAGCAGAGAAGCCCAGACCTTACTCTCCCTGGCCACCTCCTCCAGGTTGTCCTGGGAAATACCAAGGCGTTCTCAGCCGAGTGACGTAATCTCTCAAGCTTGTCCTGGTCTCCTCCCAGTGGGAGGTGCCCGGAACACCTCACCCGTAAACCAACCATAAATGAGGGTAGAATGACCAGTAAATTGAGCCACAGCACCAATCCATCTGTCAATCTCCTGTTCCCTTCCCCCAGGATGTTGTCTAAGCTCTGCCAGAGTCTGGAGTTAAAGATCACACGGATGGGGCTTCTGCCAGGCATTCTTCCCCCATCACCTGATCCAACTCATCACCAGCTGGTGATCAGTTGACAGCTGAGCACCTCTTTTCACCGTAGTGATAACTACAATACTATTAGGTCTTTCCCTTTCCTATATTTACTGTTTTCTAGCACTTAATTATCTCAGACCTAAGTGTTTCAGGCTGCACTCTGAACAGGTTGCCATTTTTCCGCTAAGTCAACACAGAGCTGTTTTTGGACAGTGAATGATGTCCTTCTCTGTGTGGCAGGCAAAGTGGGACGTAAATGAAGGACTCATTAAACATTAAGTGAACTCAAAAAGGAAGCTTTAATGCTGACCACTTTGCAAAAAACAGAAAAATACAAAACTCAGATAAAGCAGGAGCCACGAATTTACAGTCTAGGAACGAGGTGGGATACATAAGGCTGGAGATTTTAGTGGGGACCACATGGACCGGTGGTAGTGCAGGTGAGCGGGTAGCCTGAGGCCCAGAAGAAATGAACTGAGGTAAAATGGAAAGGTAGGCAGGTTGATGCCCAGATAACTTCAGGCTTAGAATGGCTGGACAGTGAGCATCACAACCTGCCTGAAAACCGAAGGAGCTCCATGAATGTCCTGCTAATCAAAGTAGTACATAAAAGATGGTTGGCCTGTTACCACTTGAGAGTGAGACAATAATCCAACCCCCAAGAGCTGTCACACTACTCCTTAAATAGCCTAGCAAATGATGCCTGATGCTCTGCAGGTGCATCAGGAAAACCCTGATGATCACAACCATGACCGCCTGCACTAAAAAAGGAAAAGACACACAAGACAATAGAACACATGCAGTCCCAAATCCTAACATAAACTGATGAAAACATGGCGAAAGGCATGGGAAACACAGGAGAAGCATGATAACTAAGAAAAGTCTATAAAGTGTTGGGTTTTTTGTGTGTTTTTTTGAGAGAAGACAAAGGTGCTCAAATGATAAGTTTTCACAATTTATTATTAAATGGTTAGAATGTCAAATTAGTTTTACATGGCATGGTGGACTGCCGTCTCTCTGGCTTGGAGGCAAAAGCTGCCACACGCAAGCAGTAAACACTTTTATTGCGTGTGGTAAAAACAGAGCGTTAACATGATTGGTCAAAAGTTGGAGAAAATCCTTTAGACCCCATGTCCTGCTTATGTTTCATCTCCTGCACCTTTCAGACATCTCCCTTTATGGAGATGACAGTTCTGCAGGCAACACTCCCATCACCATGGCAACCACCTCTTTTCCTTCCTGTAGAGTTAGAGAAGGGGGAAAAGAGCATTCCCTAATAACCAAAATGCATTGCCCTGTTTTCCTCTAGCAGAGTCAGCCTTAAAGTTTTATAGCTACGATCGTGGCTCAAGAGTTGGGAGTTCGCCTTGTAATCGCAAGGTTGCCGGTTCGATCCCCGGCTTGGACAGTCTTGGTCGTTGTGTCCTTGGGCAAGACACTTCACCCAGAGGGCCAGGTGGCGCCAGTGTCCGGCAGCCTCGCCTCTGTCAGTGCGCCCCAGGGTGGCTGTGGCTCCAATGTAGCTTGCCATCACCAGTGTGTGAATGGGTGGATGACTGGATATGTAAAGCGCTTTGGGGTCCTTAGGGACTAGTAAAGCGCTGTACAAATACAGGCCATTTACCATACCTTCTGGTGCCATCACCAGCCCTAGCAGACTCCTCACACATTCCTTAGAGACAGGACTAGACCAGCGGCGTGAACACAAGGGAGGTAAGAATACACAGGGATTCAAAGAATACAGTATAGACTGAAACTAAGAAAAGGCTAGATGTTAAAAAAAACAAAAAACAAAATTGGGAATCTAAATATAACTAAGAAGAAGAAACAGGAAATGTAGAAATCAGGTAGACTCGAAACACCAAGTGTTAGAACCAGTGTTTGGAGGCGTGACATTGGTGTTTGACCTTTTTGTTTTTTAGATTAGATTAGATTAGATTAGAAGAAACTTTATTAATCTCTCGGGTTCCTCCTGGAAATTCAGTTTCCAATAGCACAGCACCGACAGAAGTTGCATGTTACAGATACAATAAAGAGGAATGAGAGTAAGGATATGAGCATAAATATACCATATATACACATATATAAATACAGAATAAATAATAGCGAGTGCACATTTGAGTGAGTCTATTGCACAGTGATTATTGCGCAGTCGAATATAAGAAAAAATATTGCAAATATTGCACAGTGAAGAAAAGCACTACAACTCAGTTGTTCCCGCCCTCCTTTGTCCTCCTGTTTCCCCTCCCTCTCTCCTCCAACGAGGAGTTAAACAGTTTGATGGCGTGTGGGACAAAGGAGTTTTTAAGTCTGTTGGTTCTTGACTTTGGGAGAAGCAACCAGTTGCTGAATAGGCTCCTCTGATTATTTATGGCCATGTGCAGAGGATGCCCAGCATTGTCCATAATGTCCAGCAGTTTCATTAGTGTCCTTTTCTCTGCCACTGTCACCAGAGTGTCCAGCTTCATGCCGACCACAGAGCCAGCCTTCCTGATTAGTTTTTCCAGCCTGAATGAGTCCTTCTTTGCTGTGCTGCTCCTCCAGCACACCACAGCATAGAAAAGTACTCCAGCAACCACCGACTGGTAAAACATCCTCAGGAGCTTCATGTAGATGTTGAAAGACCTCAGCCTCCTGAGGAAGTAGAGTCGGCTTTGTACTGTTTTATACAGGTGCTGCGTGTTGCATGACCAGTCCAGTTTGTTGTCCACCCACAGCCCGAGGTACTTGTACGTGTTGACCACCTCCTCTCCCTCTATCTGAAATGGCATTGGACCTGGTCTGTACCTCCCACAACCAGTTCCTTGGTCTTTGAGGTGTGATTCAGGATGTCTTCTAGATGGCGCGCACTCCCCCCAGTTGCAGGTGCAGCTTTGTGTGAGTCCGTGTGACAATGTTCCTCACCAGACTCCTGTACTCCTCTTCCTGATCATAACAGATACACCCCATGATGGCTGTGTCGTCTGCAAACTTCTGAATATGGCATAATTCAGAGTTATAGCAGAAGTCAGAGGTGTACAGAGTAAAGAGAAGAGGGACAGCACAGTTCCCTGTGGTGCTCCTGTGCTGCTGACCAGTGTCAGACGTGATGTCCTTCAGCCTGACGTTCTGTGGTCTGTCAGTGAGGTAGTCGGAGATCTAGTTTTTCCAGAAGCAGACCGGGCCGGATTGTATTAAAGGCACTCAAAAAGTCCAGAAACGGGATCCTGACCGTGGCTTTCCCCTTGTCCAGGTGTGTGTGCGCTCTTTGTAGGAAGTACAGAATGGCATCCTCCTCTCCGACATCCGCCTTGTAGGCGAACTGTACTGGGTCCTGGCATGTTGTACCTGTGGTTGGAGGAGGTTGAGGAGGAGCCGCTCCAGAGTTGTCATAAGATGTGACGTGAGTGCCACCGGTCATTCAGCTCATTGGGTCGGTTCTTTTTGGGGACTGGGATGATGTAGGATGTCTTCCAGATGGCGGGCACTCTCCCCAGTCACAGGTTGAGGTTGAAGACTTGTTGTAGCGGCTCCCCGTCACCTTTAAGGTTCTTGTTTCACCAGGGAGTCAAACTACTGTGCTTTCTTTTTCAAATGAAAAGCAAATTTCCTAAAGCTTGTATTTAGATTTGTTATTTGAACTGGAGCTCAACCGCAAATCCCAAAGTCAGGGGAAAAATTACAGAGACTTTTTGCTTTTAGATATCTATTGCTGTCACAGTTTATCATACAACATCAGTTACCTCTACTGGAAGAAGAAAGCTTCATAATGGGGAAATCCACATGTTTTATCTCTTTTTGCAACATTTTTTCTTTTTGCTGAGATTTTCTTAAAATGCAGTGCATTTGACCTGTCACAGTCACTGTAAATTGCACTGGTTTTCTTCATTCCCATCCAAAACTCAAGCAGAAGACCACAACCAAACATAGTTTTCTTTTAAAGAGTCCAGAAGGTGACTATATACAGTACTACAAGATAACTACAGGCTTATTTAAAAAAGAAACAAAAACCCCAGATCATATTACACACTGTTATACAATGAAAAATGCAGTAAAGATTATTGTGTACACAATTTGGATGTCAACATCTAATGAATGTGTGAATTTTTTTTTTTCGCTGGATTGGAAAAAATATAACCTGCTGCTTGACACTGGAGTAAAGACATTCATCTCGGTTGTTCCTCTGTCTCGTTGAACTGTTGGGTAGGTTAATGCTTAAAGCAGTGTAGTGGAGGTTGTCTGCATCATGGTGTAACTGACCAGGACTTGACCCACTGTTCTTAAGATAGACAATTGGTACAGTTTTTTTTTCCACCTTTAAATTCAGAAAAGACCAAAGTTATTCTTATCATAAAAATCTCATACATATTCTGTTTAACCAACTCTAAATGGCATTACTAATACCTAACACAGGTCCTAGTTTGGATTTGGGCGACCTCTACTTTTAAGATTAGGCGACAAACTTTCCTTTTTGGTCAAGTTTAGAGTTATACACGGATCAGGTGACACCAAACCATCTCTTACTCATGCTTCTATTTTCATTCCCATGTGGTAATTCACCACTACAGCATGTCATAGTTTGTATGTTGACATCGTCTCTCTGTGCTCTTCCATTTTCTCTTCTCTAGCCCCTCGTTTCCAAAGCCTTCCTCAGCTTGGTTCTGCTGGAGATTTCTTCCTTTTAAAAGTGAGTATTGCTGCTCATTGGGGATTATTGTTGGGATACTCTCGATTAAAGCTAGATCTTTACATTTTAAATAACCAATATCCATCCAGTATCCAACACTCATTTGTACAGATTTAATTATTTTAAAACATCGATTCAAAAAGGTGCTGAAAACCTTGCTCAGACATATTGGTTATACTGATATAATAGCATCTGCTGCAGATTTGGTATCTGCACACCCCCAATGTGAATCTCGCATCCCAAAGATGCTCAGTGGAACTGAAACCTGGTGACTGTGGAGGCCATGTGAGTACAGTATGATGTTTACATGATTCAAGTACTTTAAAAATACAGTGTATTCGTCCTTCACATGATTGATGCCAAACCTGTCACAGTTTCAAGAATTAATGATGTGTAGGACTGAAGGCAGACAGAAAGCTAATCTTTTATTAGGTTGCAAACAGAATTACAAAATAGAAAAAAGCAGAAATCCAAAAATCATTTTAGAGATCCTCAGAAACCAGAGAGAGCAGAGGGTGGAGATAGACAGCCACAGAGACAAAGAACAAAGGTGTCACGGTCTGGGTCAGTGGCCGTGTGAGGAGTCGAAAGGAGGACTCAAATGCAGTACTTATTTAGACGTGAGGGCGATTTATTAACAATACCAAACATATGGTGGAGATGGCAAAACAGAACTAAGGATGACTAAACTGGGAGAAACTACACCAAGGAGTAGCAAACCTGAACATGAAGGGAGAACAGCAGGGAGCGCACGCAGGGGATTTCACAGAGTATGAACACAGACGACGCGACGAGGAACAGAGGAAAACACACACTATAAGTACACAGAGAGAAACTGGGAAATCACACACAGGTGGGGGACACAGCTGGACCTGATTAACCTGACGAGACAGGGGGGCACTAACACCAGGGACCAATAGAGGGAGCACAAACCCAGAACCCAGTATCTAAAATCCCAAAACACAAACCATCCCAAAGCAGCCATGAATAATAATGAAAGTAATAACAATAAAGAACACAAACACAAAGTCACTGAGTCATGGCCGCAGGACCATGACAAAAGGGAAGACAGGATTATAAATACTAACTGGGAATGTTAAACTGGTCAGAAATAACATGCAGGTGAAAGTCATTATAAACGGGAACACTTGGGAGACTAATACCCACAATAATATTTTACATTTTTAAACAAAAACTTAGCCTCATCATTTGAATACAGTAAATACCGCCACAAAAACCTAATCATATCACAAGCATACAACAATAAAATATGGAAGTAACCAATATTAAACTCACCAAAATTAAGAATCAAAACTTCAAATGATAAAAAATAGTCAACACAACAACAACTTCAAAGAGACAACTAAAAATTACAGAACTTCAAAAATACATCAAACCCAAAATCCAAAGCAAATTATCTACTGGAATTATATTTACAGGAATTTCAAACATATGCAAGTGATCAAATTCTGTTAGCAGTTAAATCAGTTAGAAAGGTAATACTAAGAATGATCATTTCTACTATGTTTACTTTATACCGGAGTACACACATGTATCCTGGGTGTTGCTTCTCTGTCTTCTTGCTCCTTTCGTCCTAATTTTTCTCAAAGCAGCATAATGAAGGTTGTCCTCTTGGGTGCTCTAGACACCAAAAGAATCAAGATAACAATTCAACAAGAAATGTCATTTCCTAAAAACACATGAACTTCCACACTTTAAAACTCACCTCTAAATTTACAGAATCATTTGTGTTTGACTCTGCTGAGAAAAAAGGAAATGATTTAAACTTAAATGCCACTATTTTTAAACACAACAGTAAAATAAGATAAGATAAGACCTCTGGATTGGCAGTTGTTCCTCTTTTTCATCTTATACACTAAAAAAGTTGATGAGACGCTGATGATGGTGGTGAGTGTTAAAGCTGCGCTTAAGAAATACATCAGGGCAGCAGAATCTGTAAATCCTAGAAATGACAGAGCTTTTTAGCTTTTCTTCCTGAGTTCATCAAATATGATCTGCTCCTATTTATAATACCATGTGAGTCACCTCTGCTGGAAAAGTGACTTACCCCCAAAGTCCAGCTTGGTCCCGTTTCCAAACAGTATGTGTCCACATGAGACAACAGCACAGTAGTAGATCCCAGTCTGAGACACATTCAGGCTCTCCATTCTCAAGTTATAGACACAGGTGTGTGTGCTTTTGTTAGCTTTCCTCTCACACTGATCATTCCTGACTCCATGGGTGTAAATGAGTCCTGGTTGAGAATCATCAGAGTCTTTGAACCAGTAAACACTGTGTTCTCCATCACAGCTCAGCATAGTGTGAACCATACAGTGCAGACTTACAGAGCCTCCTGGCTGGATGGTCTCAGATGCTGACTGATGAACTAAAGCTCGTACTTTTAAATCTGAATCATTGACACTGACAATAATGGTCTCTAAGAACATTAATGTGTAGAAATAGGAAAATATACAGTAGTAAGTTGCTGAGTCTGAAACACTTAAGTCTGAGATAATCAAGTGTTTTTTTCCTTTTTCATTATCTAGTCTGAAGCGTGTAGTATTGTTGAATGGACCATGAAATTGAACAAAATTGTCTTCTGACTTATCTAAAGTAGAAATGGGTTTTGGTTTCTCTCCTAAAGTTTGTTTGTACCAGTAAAAAATTGCAGCAACATTATGTTCATAGTAACAATGTAAAGTCACTCTGTCTCCAGATTTAGCTGATATAAAACGTGCTTCTTCATGAACAGAGGATAAACGCAGGTTGTTCTTCTGAGCTGTGGTGAAATGAAAGACAAAGCAAATACACATTGTGGAACATGGCAGCCGAGAAAAAATACCTTAAAAGAATTAGACTGTGGTTAAACACAAACTTACCAATTACACCCAAGAACAAACACATCAGGTAGAAGACAATGTGTGCAGATGCCATTGTTCCAAACAGTCGTACTGAATAAAAGAACGGCGACTCTTCACTTTTAAGAGTGATGATTAGATTTCACTGGCCAATCAGAAGCTACACAGTACATGGAAAACTAGATCACATGATCAATGACATCTGTAGTGTTAAACTTAGTAGCTGAGATGATGTCAACTCACTAAATGTCCTGTAGACAATGTGTTTGTTTGGGGCAGTGTGAGACCCATAGTTAATAATTTTGAAATATTTCATGTATATAAAAATGGTGAATTAACTACACAACCACACAAAATACGACACTATCTTTTTTAATAGTTTTCATGTTAAAAACATTGTAGGATTTTTTTGTTATCTTTTTGAATTTGTGTTTAGGATTTTCTGTCATTTGAAGTTGTGACTCTTGTTTGTGTCAGGTTGAGTTTTGGATATCTGTTTTTATTCCTTTGTTATTTAATTGTAACTTTCCATCCATTCATTCATTTTCATCCGTTTATCTTTGACTGGGTCGTGGGGGCAGAAGCCTAAGAAGAGAAACCCAGACCTCACTCTCCCCAGCCACCTCCTCCAGCCTGTCCCGGGAAATACCAAGAGACATAATATCTCAAGCATGTCCTGGTCTCCTCCCAGTGGGAGGTGCTGGGAACACCTCACCCATAAACCAACCATAAGTGAGGGTAGGGACATAGAACGACCAGTAAACTGAGCCACCATACCAAACCATCTGTCGATCTCCTGCTCCCTTCTCCCATAATGCTGTCAAAGCTCTGTTGGATGATCTCTTGTGCAGAGGCTTCTGCCAGGCATTATACATTTCGGTGCACCAGGTTTGTCCAGCATCCTTCCCTGCCACCTGATCCAACTCACCACCAGTTGGTGATCAGTTGACAGCTCAGCACCTCTCTTGACCGTAATTATAACTACAATATTATTAGGTCTTTCCTTTTCCTATATTTACTGTTTTCTAGCAATGAGGCCTAGTTTTTTTTTGTTATCTTGTGTTTGGGCAGCTTGTACTTTACCATCACGATCTCGTCCTTTAGTGCAACACAAATAAAAGTAAAGTTCATATCCATGCTGTACACTGCACCACAATTTTCCAGACAGACTAACAATTCCAAGAAAGTATTGAACGACATAATTTTAATGGAGTGGTTTTTTTATTCATGGAAACCAGCTGCATCAAAGCCTTACATGATACATCTAAATGCACCGCGTCAGATGCAGTGGCGTAAGGCATGCCACCACTGGATGCCAGAGGAGTGGAGACGTCTTCTCTGCAGGGACAGATGACACTTCTCCGTCAGACAATCTGATGGTAAAGTCTGGACTTCCCAGGTGTGAGGAGAGCAGTACTTGCCTGACTGCCCTCTACCAAGTGTAAAGTTTAGTGGGGGGGGATTATGATGTGGGGTTGTTTTTCAGGATCTCAACACAGCCTCAGTGATAGAACTGTTAATGCTTCAGCACACCAAGACATGTTGGACAATTTCATGCTTCCACCTTTGTGGGAACAGTTTAGGATGGTGATCATTAATCACAGTGCAGATAAATGAGATTTTTTTGCCTCATGGGATCTGTACACGTTTTAGTGGTTAATTTATCTTTCATAATAATTTATGCCATGTATACACCACAGAGCGCCTTGGTTCCCAACCAGCGTACTCTGCCAAAATCCCCCAAAATTACACAACGTAATCGGCCACACTCTTCTGCTCTTGTTGCAAATCTCCCAAAGTGTAACTGAGGGTTGGCTCTTGGTCTCTGGTTTCTACATTTCTTTCTTTTCCTTCACTTTCCAATTCATAGTTGCAGAGAATATCCCAACTGCCGTTGGCTGAAAGGAGGGTTACACCCTGAACAGGTTGCCATTTTTCCGCCAGGTTAACACAGAGCCATTTTTGGACACTGAATAATTGTCACAGTCTCACTGACTGTATAGAGTGAGGAGTGGACCTAAAATGCAGACACAAATGAACATGAAACAAAACTTGATATAAACAAAAAGTGAGCTATTTATTGAGGGCTGGCAAAAAAAACTACAAACAAAGAGGGCAAGGGAAAAACTGAAACCTAAACTGGGTGACCTAAAGCACAACATAAAAGATCCTGACATGAACACAGATAATCTTGGACATGAATACCTGAGCCGTGGAACATGGAAACCTTGAAGCATGGCATAGAAAACAACAGACAACCTGACAAAGACTGAATGAGAAAACACAGACTAAATACACACAGCAGACTAATGAGGGAAGTGGGAACACAGTGGGGAAACAGCATAAACAAATGACCATAACAATGCCACAGGGGAAGTGTAAAACTAAACACAATGAACACAGGAACTCTTCAAAATAAAACAGGAAACGTAATGAAAAGCAGACATAACAACATGAACTTGATAACAAAAGTGATACAGACATGAAACACATAAAGGACAATGGAGATGTAACACTGGGGTTGAAAACATAAAGGGAATCTAATAAACAAATGAACTTAGCGCACCTAAATAACTTAAACATCAACATCCAAATAAAGTAAAACATAAAACTCTGGGTCAACAGACCTAGGAACATGACAATGATGTCCATCTCTGAGTGGCAGACAACGTAGGACGTAAATGAAGGACTCATCAAGTGTCTGGCAGCCTCGCCTCGCCTCTGTCAGTGTGCCCCAGGGTAGCTGTGGCTACAATGTAGCTTGCCATTGCCAGTGTGTGAATGTGTGTGTGAATGACTGAATGTAGTGTAAAGCGCTTTGGGGTCCTTAGGGACTGAGTAAAGCGCTATACAAATGCAGGCCATTTACCATTTACCATCAAGCATTAAGTGAACTCAAAAAGGCAGCTTTAATACTGAACACTTTCCAAAAAACAGAAAAATACAAAACTCAGATAAACCAGGAGGGAGTCACATATTCACAATATAGGAACGAGGTGGGATACATAAGGCTGGAGACTGAAGTGGGGACTACGTGGACTGGTGGTAGTGCAGGTGAGCGGGGAGGCTGAGGCCCAGAAAAATGAACTGAGGTAAAATAGAAAGTTAGGCAGATTGATGCACAGAAAATTTCAGGCTGGGAATGGTTGGGCAGTGAGTGTCAAGAACTGGCAGGAAGCAGAAGAGAAGGCGATCCGTGAATGTCCTGCTAATCAACGTAGCACAAAAACAATGGTTGATGTGTTACCACCTGAGACTGAGACAATAATCTGACACCCAAGAGCTGTCACACTACTACTTAAATAGAAGAGGTAAGAGAGAGGGAAGGACCTGTCCCGGCCAACTTAGTCTTTCTGTGCTCTTCCATTTTCTCCTCTATAGCTCCATTTTTCCAAAGCCTTCCCCAGCTTGGTTCTGCTGGAGATTTCTTCCTTTTAAAAGTGAGTATTGCTGCTCATTGGGGATTATTGTTGGGATACTCTCTATTAAAGCAGGATCTTTACATTTTAAAGCACCTTGAGTTGATTGTTGGATTGAATTGGCAATATTTACATAAAACTGAATTGACATTCTGTGTATCAGTATCCAACACTGATTTGAACTGCTTTAACTGTTCAAAACATCGATTCAACAAGGTGCTGAAAACCTTGCTCAGACATATTGGTCCATACTGATATTATAGCATCTGCTGTATATTTGGAATCTGCACATCCCCAATGTGAATCTCCCATTCCACCACATCCTAAAGATGCTCTTTGGGATTGGAATCTGATGACTGTGGAGGCCATTTGAGTACAGTTTTATGTTTCCATGTTTCAAGTACTTTACAAATACAGTGTGTTTATCCTTCATGTGAATGATGCCAAGCTTACCACAGTTTGAAGAATTAATGATGAAAGTGTAGGACTGAAGGCAGACAGAAAGCTAATCTTTTATTAGGTTGCAAACAGAATTACAAAATAGAAAAAAATCATTTTAGAGATCCTCAGAAACCAGAGGGCGCAGAGGTTGGAGATATACAACCACAGAGACGAAGAAGAAAGGGAAGACAGGACTATAAATGCTAACTGGGAATGTTAAACTGATCAGAAATAACACACAGGAGAAAGTCATTATAAACGGGAACACTTGGGATACTACTACCCACAATAATATTTTACATTTTTACACAAAAACTAAGCCTCATCATTTGAATACAGTAAATACCACCACAAAAACCTAATCATATCACAAGCATACAACAATAAAATATGGAAGTATCCAATATTAAACTCACCAAAATTAAGAATCAAAACTTCAAATGATAAAAAACAGTCAACACAACAACAACTTCAAAGAGACAACTAAAAATTACAGAACCTCAAAAATACATCAAACCCAAAATCCAAAACAAATTTTCTACTGGAATTGCATTTACAGGAATTTCAAACATATGCAAGTGATCAAATTCTGTTAGCAGTTAAATCAGTTAGAAAGGTAATACTAAGAATGATCATTTCTACTATGTTTACTTTATACCGGAGTACACACATTTGGAGTACACACATTCCTCCTGGGTGTTGCTTCTCTGTCTCCTTGCTCCTTTCGTCCTAATTTTTCTCAAAGCAGCATAATGAAGGTTGTCCTCTTGGGTGCTCTGGATACCAAAAGAATCAAAATAACAATTCAACAAGAAATGTCATTTCCTAAAAACACAAGAACTTCCACACTTTAAAACTCACCTCTAAATTTACAGAATCATTTGCGTTTGACTCTGCTGAGAAAAAAGGAAATGATTTAAACTTAAATGCCACTATTTTTAAACACAAGAGTAAAATATGAATGAAAATTCTAACCTTTAAATTGGCAATTGTTACTTCTTTTCATCTTATACACTAAAAAAGTTGATAACACACTGATGATGGTGGTGAGTGTTAAAGCTGCGCTTAAGAAATACATCAGGCCAGCAGAATCTCGCCGAATTGTAAATCCTAGAAATGACAGAGCTTTTTAGCTTTTCATCTTCAGTTCATCAAATATGATCTGCTCCTATTTATAATACCATGTGAGTCACCTCTGCTAAAAAAGTGACTTACC